TTTTAAAATCTTATGTAGGATTAACATCACCTAAATCTGAGAATGCTGTATTAAACAAGTAAAAAGAATTGATCAACTTTTAAACTTTAATGTGATCATAATCTATAATATATCAATTCAAGACTTATTATTGTCTAATTCTGCCTTAAGTTTAGCATCATTCAATGCAAAAAATGTGAAGTTAACATGAAGTCTTTATCTAATCAAATTTCTTATATAAATAACTCAAAGCAATAAAACATTCATTTATATAAGAGCTAAAAAGTTATTAATCTAAAATTGCTACAAGAGAATATATACTTAATAGATCATGGCTGTTAACTGCTTTAACTTATATTATGCTTAGTCAAGAATTTAAACATTAAGTTTTTTGGCTTAATCTATAAGAACCATATAAAGATTATAATTGACATTGAATAAAAATCAAATTTTCATTCTCAATTTAGTTACCTAATCTGAGCACATGCATTAACTGCTTATAACAAAGAGCATCATATTGACAGAGATTTTGTACATTAAAAGCATATATCTAAGCTTTTGATATCCCACTTGATGGTTGGGACCCACTAGTATCACAGAAGCTTGTATCTAGCTTATCAACCTAATAAGTTCTTGTAGCTATGGCATTCACCTTTTACTCATAAAGTGCATCTATAGCAACATAGTTGCTAAGCTTTTATTTCCTATTAAGAAATTATCCTGAATGAATAATATTAGTTTTAGTATGGTAATGAACCCTTAATATAGTACTCAAAATAAGCTTATATGTTTGGGCTTTAGATTGTTTTTTACCGCTGGCTTCAAAGATAATTTCGTTAAACTTTCTGCCTAAAGCTTTTATAATATTGTGCTAAAGTACTTCTATTTATGTTATAATTCATTATCTTAAAAACTTATTCGTTAGTAAAGATCCATCTATATATTTGGTAGATTAAGTATGTTTAGGATAATTAGCTAGCATGAATTATATTAGGTATATTAGAAAGAATTAGCTTAGAGCGATTATAAACTTCTTACTTTAGATACACGTAAACTATAAGTTGCTCATTATATTTAACCTTACACTATATGGAGTTATCTAAGCTAAATGTAAGTTTAGGTTTGGTAGGGGACAATTTAATATCACTTAAGGAACTTCGTTTATATAGAATTTTCTATTAACATACGGGGTTAGTCCCGCAGCTGCCCACTATATTATGCTCTTAGCAAAATTTAAATAAAAACTGCGATTTTGAGGCCAAATAGTTTTAAAACAATCTTTACCTAAAAATGAAGCAACGATAAAATGACAACTGTCAAAGGTAAATGCTTAATATACGGCAGTAAAATTAAAGACTTTTTGATACATCTACTTATGTTTTAGCTACTATGCTTTTCTTGAATGCTATAATAAAATAAATAACTTTGGTATCTATAAAACGAGATTGTTATTATTTCGTACAAGTACAATTTTGTTACACAGCCTTGGCAAAGCAATAATAGTGCCCGTAACATAAATTAAAACCCGCGCCAAGTATCTAAGGCTTACAACTAAATCACCCAAAAGTTTAAAGTGATATATCTGAACTTAATACCAGCAAATTACATAACCAAGATAAGAACATAAGCGTAAGAAGTAGATTTTTATAAAACAATGCAATCGAAACTTCAGAATAATTTATTCTAGGACTATAGTTGCACCAACGGCTTCAAGAGTTGCTTTTATCTTCTCTGCCTCATCTTTTGAAACATCCGTTTTAATAACTTTAGGTGCAGATTCAACGAATTTCTTAGCCTGAAATAATGAGAGAAACCCAATTTAGAATTTTACCTCTACTAGATTAGCGCCTGGCAGAATACCCTTGATCTCGCGAATAACTTTAGCTTTTGCAGCAGCATCGAACTTTTCGAGCTTGACTGTAAAAATAGTCTTTTCTTCTACTTTTGGAGCCTAAAAATAAAGTTAAAACCCAAAGAAGTGATAGATTACCTCTGTAGCTGGAGCAGCTGAAGCCACGGGGCTGCGGATGCAGCGGGCATAGCAATTTCTGAGATGTTTAGTTTTACCTAGTAAGCATTAACAGTTGAACTGTAAAGAGTCAAACCTTTAGCGCTTGCACTAGCTCAGAAGCTTCGAGTAGAGTCAATTTAGCGATTTCTTCAACAATTGGCGCAATTTTAGGGGATTTTGGGAGTTCGTCAGTTGGGATGGCTACTTTGGTCGCAGCCTCAGAAGAACTATAAAGCCTAATTTCCTGGAAAACAGATCTAGAGGTTGTTTGATACCATTTTCCCTAACTATTACCTGCATTTAGACGCACTTCGAGAAAGATAAACCAAATCGGGTAGCAAAAGGCTATATGTAAAAAAGCAGATTGGAAAAGAAGATGCAAAACTTACCATATTAATCTAAAGAATAACCAGTGATTTTAAAGGAAATTAGCAATCATGGGTAAAAAGTAAAATATATAAGTTAAATTAATTTAACAATAAAATGCTTAAAGTAATCTACCCTATAAAACAATCATAAAATGAAGACTTGAATTTTAAAAATACTAGTTTAGGATTGCAGAGATGGTTCTAAAAACTGGTCGAAACTAATATTAACATCTTTTCAGCTTTTTAGCCACTTAAAATAAATTCGAGAGATCTTAAAATTTTGTAATCTGCAATCATGCCCAACTTGTTACAAGCTTTGCTATAAATATTATTTATGTTATTACTAAGTAAAAATAAATACCATCATAATTCACTCACAGGATTAATTCTTAAAAAGCAATAAGATTCGGTTTTATTTTGATTAGTATTCTCGTGGTATCTTTAGCAACTTAATCAAATGAATTAACTCTAAAATATGATTTATTTTGATACTAGCTGATTTCCCCACCGTTGCTTGGGTTTATATTTACTGGATAATTTTAATCATTTTTAAACGACTTTGAAAAAGAAGGAGGTTATCAATTCGACCTATGTATGTTTTTTTCTTTTTTTCTATGTTTGTTCACGCATAACTCTGAAAATACTGGACCGATTTGGATGATCATCTCCAAAAATCGAGAATGCTCCAACTTAGGTCCCATTTTACTTTTGTAAGTATTGGACAAGTATCTGCCCATTAATTTAGTAAATATATCAAAATGGACTCGGAAGCGATGGGTACTTGTGGGACTAATACAACACCGGATAAACATTTTTCCGGCATCGGTGAAGCGATAGCTTCGTTGCACATTTGATATGTCCTATGGCTGGGGGGTATGTTCAAAATTCAGCCAGTATGAGCTCATAGTGGGACGAGCTTAAATCATTATAGATGGCTATCGTTTTTGCATAATTTGACCAATAAACTCATATAAATTTGATAAAAATGAATTATTTTAGATAGCAATCAATAAATTTACATAGATTGACTAATAAAAGCAACCAAATCTAATAAAATGAATTACTGTAGATGGCAATCAGTAAATTCAGCATATGTTGACCAATAAAATCATTTAAATTTGATAAAATGAAGTATTATTATATTTTTTATGAGATACTATATATAATAGATATACAATAAGGTTTAATTTCATAGAAATAGTTAGGGGCAAAAACAATATATAGAGATAATAATATTTAATAAAAGTAGGAAAAAGAGCCACTTTTAAAAATGCACTAATGTTTTGAGGGGAAAAGAGCTGGGAGTAAAGTTTTTTGGGGAAAAAGAACCTCCTTTAAAAAAAAGCTCTAAAAAGTATGAAATAATCGAGAAATTAAGCCTACTCAATAAAACCCTTTTTTGAAGTCAGCACCATATTTTAACAGATCTAATAGTTATTTATAATCTATATACTCAGTACTATTTATTCTAAGTTGCTTATAGTTTACACTTGTACCCAATCCAGATATAAGATATAACTTGTATTTGTGAGCAAAATTCTATAATTCAGTTTAAAATATGGCGCCGACTTTAGAAAGGGTTTTATTGAGTAGGCTTAATTTCTTGATTATTTCATACTTTTTAGAGCTTTTTTTTAAAGGAGGTTCTTTTTTCCCAAAAAAATTTTACACACTTTTCTTTAACTCACTGTCACGTCTGTCTGTAATCAAATCTTACAAGCTCTATTTCAGACACTTATTTTCAATAATACATTCTAGAATCTTATCACAGACGTTGCCTTGGATGACAATACAATAATACATCGAAAAATTTAATTTTCTTATTCAAAATAAAAGTTTTATATGTATCAAGTGAAAATCCTATATATTTTCGACGGTAGTCGGTATATAGTTACAGCTGAGCAGTTTGATATTCGGTTGATTCGAAAGTTTCAAGTTTACTTTCCAGGCTAGCTAAAGCTTTGAAATTGACACATTTATGTATCTCCGATGACAATACAATATTCCATTAAAAATATGAAAAGTGTTAATTTTGCAAAATGAAAACATTTTTAAAACGTTTAACATCTTTCTATTTTATTAAATATAGAAATGTTTTGGTTAGCAGTTTGTGGTATTTGATTGATCCGATAGGACTAAATTTAATTGGCTGAGTGGTCAGCGTTTTTTGGTCAACATGATAGATCCAATAGTTTTAGGCAAGTGGTTGGTGGTAAATTATTGCTTGTATATTTAAATTGGATTTAGCCAAGCGTTAATGAATTTTGATTATATTGATAAAGCTTAATTTTATTTGGCAGATGTTTTGGTGAAATTTGGTTGTTTCTTACATTCGATAGGTTTTAGCCAAATGGTTGATGGTTTTGGTTGATCCAATAGGTTCTTTGGCTTTGTCAAGTAGTTTGATGGTATTCGAGTAAATCGATTAATTCATTTGGGTTTGGCTAAGTGATTAATGATTTTTGATTGATTTGATAGGTTCAACTGTATTGGGTAAGCGGTTAATGATTAAACAGTTTAATATGTTTAAGGATAATGAGTAAGCAATTTCATGTTATCTATAATATAGAACCTAAGTTAATCAGTTCAAATCGTCTGATAAATAAACCCTAGCAACGCCATGTAACTCCGCTAGTTAAAAATAAAAAAATGTCTGTCCAGGTTTGAACTGGAGACCTTCTGTGTGTTAGACAGATATGATAACCAACTATACCATCTTTTTTTATAAAACTCCATACTTTATTTAAAATAAATTTAAGGGAAAGTAAGAGGGGAGGGCAGAATACAGGTGATTCAGCCAAGGGTAAAAAGGACTGGGGGTTCAGGCTGCTAGAGTTCTAGCACCTCCAACCATTGCTGATTGGTGATTGCCATTGTTAGCCACAGTTCTAGCATTGGCAGGCTTATAGGCAATTTGATTCTCAGTTGATTAGTTGCCTCATTGCATATGATGAGTGATCCGGCAGGGAAAGCCTGACATGTGGCTTTATAATACCTGGGGATTAAGTGCAAAAATTTTGAGATCTGACAGAGCTGATCAGAAATAGTCTGAATGGTCTTCAATACCAAACCTCTGTGGTGGGGGCACTCATTGCTCAAAGCCTTGGCAACGAGCACACAGTGAATTACCCATACACAATAATAGTAAATAAAGGCTTGTAGTTTGATTGGAGCCATTTTCAGGGTTTTTGTGAAGAAAAGATCCTGCGATGGATGTATTCTCAGTGGCAATTGTTCACCTGATAGGATGTAGTGCATCGCTCAGGTTGGGACCATCTAGTACTAAAAAAAGGATGTAGTGCATCATGGATCAGTATTTTTTGAACATGGTGCATTCATAGTAATGGCAGGCTATGTCTGCTTCCAGTTCAGCACATATGGGGCATTCTTTGTGCTGGTAGTCTGACCCACTGTGCTTGCCTGATTTGCATGCCCAATTTAAGATCTGCTATGTTGTCAAATGCTGTTTGGCTGTTACCAAGTGGGAGTTCAGGCCTGAGATCAACTCCTTCATCAGGTAGTTGGTGTTGTAGCCTTCAGTAGTCCAGTCATTTAGGATTTGTGGATAGGTGGGCAAACTGCACCCCAGTTTCAGGAGTGGATCCCCATATTTTATCAGCATCAATTTGTACCTTATTCTGATTGACTTGGTAGCATATTTGTTGGCAATTCAGTTATGCTCCTCCCAGCTTGTTGCAGAAATTATTGCAGAATTACATGCTTCAATGTCCCTTTGAATTTGGTCAGCTTCTCAGTCCAATCAAACAAATGACCATCCTCCCTGGCACATGTCCCAATTGCATAGTTGCCAGTAGTGTGGAGTACCTTTTTGGGAGGTTATCCACAGGTGGTGCACCATCCATTCATGTAATGAGTGGGGAGAGACTGGCTCTTGGAGGCCTTGGGCTCTTGCCCAGTTCACACCCCATGCTAGGGTCAGGCAGAGCATATGCATCTGTGTTAGCTTCAGGAATGACTTCCCCCATATACACCAGGAATGAGATTTGAAGTCCAGTAGGCTCGTGCCTCCTTTGTTCTTTGGTTTTGACAGGGCTTCCAGTGGTATCAGTGCCACCTTTGCCTTGAACCACAAGAAGGTTCGGATCATTGACCTGATATTCTTCTCTAAGTTCAGGCTCATTGGCAGCACATGAGCAACATACCACAACTTTGAGAAGATGAAGATATTTATTTCCTGCACTTTCTCCTTGAGGTATAGTCTGACACTTTTCCAGCATGCCATTTGGATCATTAAGCTTGACAATACTTCCTGTTCAGTCTCCAGTACCGCTGGTGTCAAGAGAGTGTCTGTAACTCTCTTGTTCCCAGCAAGGTGATGTGGGATGTGAACCCACATTGTTAGGGAACTAGCCGTTAAGAGAATGGGAAATGAGGCACCTAGAATAGTGCTTGAGCAAAAGGTAACCCAGGCTAGGGTGTAAAGCACCATATATGAGACCAGGTAAGTAAGAAACCTCCCAACTTGAGTAGACACCAAAGGGGAGTCCATTGTCAAGGGTAACTTGGCACTAGTAGACTTGGGTGTCTCAGTATGGAGGGGACCTAAATGGACCAAGAAAGCATCTGGGATTTGGGTAAATGGTGATAATAGGTATTGGCCCACATAGTTGGAGACCTCCCTGAAGAGGTCCACCACCAAGTTCACCCAAGGAACCATTTGAAAAACGTAAAAATAATGGGTAAATTTTATTTTAAGAAAGTCAACCAACAAGGAATGTTGGTCGCAAAAACGTATTTAAAGTGGGCCAGGGAAATTCAGGTTCTGCGGAAGTGTGCCCAAGCCTTGACACTCCAATAAACATACGCTTCCATCTGTTTTAGTAAAATACACCAAAAGTGCCTTCACTCGAGTAATCAATTGAAGCCATATTTTACCCAAGCTTAAAATTTCATAACTGGAGTGGGACTCAAACCCTTGCTCTCCAATCAATTGAATTGAACCATCTTCATTTATAACATAAATCATTCGTTTTAGTGCCTGGGCTGAGATAAGAGGCTGGGCGTTTTGCACTCCATTAGTATCAACCTGGGCATGCTTGGCTTGCACCCAGCGTTGATATAAGGTGTGTTTCAGGTCAGGAAGAGCCTGAAGTTTCACCTTCTGGGCCTCTTGTCACCTAGCCTTGTCTTTAGCATCAGTTCCTACTATAAAGTCATCCAACCATGACAGCTGGTCCCTTGTTGTTGAAGAGTATCCCAAGGTATCAGACTGTCTGGGAGTACATGATCAGCATTGTGTCAGTTGGTGGGCTGAAGCTCGGGTTGCCAACCCTCATCACTGAGGTTTTTGTCAGGTTGATCTTTTCATTCGATGCTAGCTGATAGAGGTTTAATAGTTCCTTAGCGCCCTGGAGGTCAGTCAGTGAGTTTATGCCTGCTACCATATTGTCAGCAAATGCTAGCATCTTCAGTGGCATTTGGTTATGGTGGACTAAACCCCAGAGCTTTGTGTCCGCTGCCACCAGTAAAATGTTGGCTGCAAAGTTAAAGAGTATTGGTGACATAGGGTCGCCTTGTCAGAGACCTTGCCCAACCAGGATTTTGTTGGTTATGCATCTGTGACAATCACCTTCATTACCAGGCCCGAGTACAGCATCATTATCCATGCTCAAAAAGTGTTGGGGATACCAACTGCCTTTAGTGCCTCATAAAGGAATGACCACGCTACTCAGTCATATGCCTTTTCCATGTTGAGGAATATGAGGTACCCCTGTTTGATGCCACTCACATCCTGGAGTATGCTCTGGACTGAACCAATGCTGTCCCATATACTACAGCCTTTGACAAAGCCATTCTGGGCCTCATGTAGCATGCGCGGTGCTGTTGCCATCAGTCAATTAGATAGTATGCGCGTGAGCAGTTTATAATTGGTGTTTGATAGCACAATCAGGTGTCAGTTCTGAAGTTGGCATCTGAGGCCCTTTTTGTACAATAGTACGATTTGGGTCTCTTGGCCTCCCAGAATTTGCTGGCCATTTTGTAAACAGTGGTTGAAGAGGGTTTTGAGCTTTGGCGCAATGCAGTCTCAGAATATGCTGTATATTTCTGCACACATATTGTCGGGGCCTGGTGCTTTAATTCTTGGTGACTCCTTTACACCCTCTTAACTTCATCAATAGAGATTTCAGCGGATAGCTTGGTGGCATATTCCAGTGTACAGCCCCCTAGTGCTGGCTTGGCCAGGTCAATAAGGGCTTTTGTCGCTGATTTGCTCATTTCTTGTTGTCAGAAAAGATCACCATAAAAAAGCTTGACCTCTCGCTTGATTGTTTCAGAGTATGTTAATACTTCCCCTTCCGCTGTCTCCACTTCCCATACCCTAGCTTTGGTACAAATTTCCTTGGGGTGTTTCAGGCCCTCTTTGGTCATCATCCCCGCTAGACTCTGATATCAGTAAGCCACATTGATATATCTCTCTGAGTCTTGCTTTATCATTATGGCCTGATAATTTTTGTGTGTTGTTTGGTACTTGCTCCACCAGTCCTCACTGTCCCACCGGGTGAGCCTCAGCCTTTCTAATTTAGATTTTAGCTGCTTCACATTGGCAGTTTGCTTGTAAGAGGTCGCTTTTTCAAACTTCATACTATTGTGCTTCATTTTTTCTTTGATCCAGGTCCATAATTCTATTGGGTCCAACTCTGGGTGGCTGTTCAATTATGCTACCAGTCAATCCAGTTCAGCGTAAATCTTTTGGCGCCATTCCCCGTCCCTCAGCGCGGCTGGTGCCAGTTGCCACTCGCGGTTCCTCAGAGGTTCATCAAGGTCAATATCCACGTGGATGACCATGTGGTCACTTTTGGCATTTATGCTAACCTTGCTGTTGGATGTCATTGGCTTGAGATCTGATGACACTAGGATGTAGTCTAAATGTGATCCTGACAGTGGGGATCCAGCGGCGTCATATGACCACCATGTTTGGTTGGCCAGGTCATTGTCCTCTTCGTCAATCATTAGGCACATCCCAAATTTGACTAGGTAATCAAGCATCTCGTTTGCCTTACTGTTGGGACATTCTCTTGTTGGGAATGTGTCCTGGCTCACATTCATCCAACAGTTCAGGTCACCTGCTATTATGATCACTGCTTTGGATGGCACTTCTGCTAAAAATCCTAAAAATACAGTTTTCATGTTGTTTTGGTGGGGCATAGACTGCTACCGCTCATATGCTCTTGCCAGTTTCTTTGTTTGTAGCCGTTGCTATCAAGATCCTACCAGCGTGAGTTATTCCACAAATTCCAGGTCTATTTTCTTGTCCATTGTGACTATTGCCACTTGGTCCATTCATATGGCTTGGTATCCTATATGATGGGACCACGGGTGGTTTTTTGCATCACAGTTTGAGCTTGGCACCATTTCCTTTTGGTTACCAGCTTGTGTTTCAGAAATAAAAATTATGTCAATATTATTATTAATTTTTAAATGGTGCATTTTCCTCCTCCTTGTTTGTATGCTCACCATCCCCCAAGCATTTATAGTCGCTATCCTCATTTCCAGCTGCCCAACCCATGGGTATGAGGTTTAGCGTTGTCTGGGTTGTGGATCAAGTCCTGTACTGAGGTCTGGTTGGTCAATGATTATGGCGTCGATGGTTGGCAGGGTGCAATATTTGGTTTTTAAGGTCGATTGGTTGGGACTGGGATTATATTCCTGGGCATCCTGTGTACTGGGAATTTGGTCGCCATCCCCATCTCCCTGTTGATG